ATTACACATCATATAGAAAAATATATGATCAATTATAACATTCTGCAATAGTGCAACTTCCATAGGAGAGTTCAAGATGGCAGGTTGGAAAAGGCTGCTCTAAATTCACAAAAAATATTGTCCTACTCATAACAGAAGAGGAGAAAACATATGAGGGAAATAGCTGTGTTATGATGTATCATGAAAATGTCATATGCACCATGAGAATTTCCAAAGAGGCTGTGCAGATGTGCTTACTACTCTTCCAGATGGGCCACAAAACAGGCAGGGAGAAAGGCAGAAGAAAGGGCTGAGGGCGAAATGGGCACCAGGAACCACAGCTGCTTAATCTCTGGTTCTATCAGTACTTTTAAAGGTACTAAAAACTGAGAACCATCTATCAATTTTGAATCTAGCACTTCTGTTCTGCACAGAAAGAACATTTTACGAATGTCACCCACAACGTTATGGGGGAAGGGGATAAAAGAAGAATAATTCCAGCACATGGCAGAATAGGAAGGTGGGAGTATGTTGCTGGACACACCCCTCAGTGTTTGTTTCTGGTCTTCAGAGCTCTGAATACTGTTTGCTAATTTGCATATGCGCTATGCAAGATGGTGCTTAATATTCATAAGTGTTCTGAATGGTCTACAAACCAACCTCTGCAGGATTAATGAGTTCTGTGAGAACTCTGGAAAATGATCTATTAGTGAAAGTTTGAGAGTGACTAATTCAGATATCTGAAAGGTCCCTTTGATGTCAAGCCACTTGCAAACCATTTTGTTCTCCACTGTTTTGTTCTTTGCTGTTATCGTGTATCTGATTGACCACTGCAACCCTGTGCCCAGAGAAAGTTACTGATCTTTTCCACCTGGCCAATATACTTCTGTCCTACATGAGAGAGATGTGATGGACTCCATCTTTCCCTCATTCCCACTCACATGCTTGTACATCATCACTCTTATGTAGGTGGAAGAGCCGGGCTAGAAGTTTTTGTGTAGATAAAGAAGCATGGTGGTCATTGATCAGTATGGAAGCTCTGAAAGCCAGCAAAATGAAACCCTGGGAAAATGAATTAGAATAGCTTGATAAGAGAACCGGCCAGTGACACTGCTGGAATTTGAAAGATGCTGGAAAAGTTGGCACCAGAATGACCTTGTGTGAAAAGTACTGCCCCTTGGGTGCATGTTGCACTGAAAAATTCACATAACTCTCAAGGTCTCGTCATGTATCACAGAAATGTGACCTTTACTAAGGTAAAGCTTCAGTTCAGCTTTAGGCAAATAATTTTTTTCTTGTCCATATGTTTGTAAAAAATAAACATATAAGCCCTGTGTGACCTACAATGTTTGACAATGCAAGGAATAGCAAACAGATAAGTAAGTGTAATGTTCTGTTGAATTTAAACCCCAGCTTTGTGATCTTGATTCACACGCACTACATCAACCTTCTTTTGGGCATGGTGGCTGTGGATTATGGGAACTGAAGCCAGCTGAAACTGAAGGAAACCAGGTCAGGGAAACCTTCCCTGAATTGCTCTGAAATGCAGTGCAGTGCATACTGATCCCCTTTTTGGATCCATCATTTGATTTGGATAAAATCTAAGCATGCTGCAAAACAGTATTGTTGTCCTAATTCCTGTATACACATGTGAGCAGTTTACAATATGTACTGTATGTGAAGAGGAACATGAGGCTGAGAGACAGTTCCTTACAGCAATAAGCTTACAACATATTTCACAATTCTTCCATTCAATTGACATCCCACATCTACAAGAATAATACAGATTCCATTGTGCTCCTCATTCCTCATACCAGCCTCCCAATAGTGCAGACTAGAATAACCATTAAATGGTTGCCTAGGTAACATGCTTCCTTCCGGGGCACTCTGAATTCCATGTCCAGGATACTTTCCGTTCTTCTCTGGGGAGCTTATTGTGCAGGGATTAGATATCTCTGTGGTAGTGCCTCATCTCTGGAATTCTCTTCCCCAGTGAAGTACTTATGCTCCTGATCTCCTGATACTGGGGTAACATTTAGTTGTTCTCATAGCATTTTAAAGAATGCAAGTACTTTCAAAAGAATTTTATAGCACCTTAAAAACTAGCACACCTTTTATATATTTGTAGATCCCCGTGCGCTTTGTCAGATGGGGGTCTTGATATGATGGGTGGGTTTTTGGCTTTTTTCATTTCTTTGGGAGCAGATTCTGCTCAGTTTCGAATCTCACTGATTCTGCTCTCTGAGTGATTAGCAACCATGACCAGGATTCCTCTACTCTCACTGTCTGAAGGCACCAAACAGACAGCAAACACAAACAATGCAATGGGAAGGGAGAGAACACCATCCAGATTGTGTTCATGTGCTACAGCCATCATCACATCCTTTTGGGTATGATTGATGCCACATCCCAAGTTTGCTCTAGAAGGTGTTAGAGCCATGCCATGGAAATAGGATTGTGTTTATTAAGTCAGTGTTCTGAACTATCCTGCTAAATTATAAGGCATTTTCCCCCTACTTCTATACCAGGCAGGGAAAGCAGTGGAAAAGAGAATAAACAATTCAAGGCTTGGCATAACAGGTCATCTTAGCGCATTCCTCTAATGCCACCATTTCTCCTCCTCTGTCCCTCAAGGGGAGTTTGAAAACAATCTGCTATTTTTTTCCCTTTGCCAGCTTCAATTCTTTGAGAGTAAGGCAGGGCTTCTCAAATGTGGGTCACAACCCCCTGGGAAGGTGCAAGGTGGCACAAGCAGCAGAGAAACGGCTGACCCCCACTTTTCCACTGCTACCTTGTCATTCCATCCTCATCCTCCTCCAATGTTAGGTGTTCTTCTCCCAAGTCACCTCCACCTGCCAGCCATATAAGTTGCAGGGAACTTCAGGTACTATAGAAGCTTCCTCCCACAGCTAAGAGCATCCAATCCCTTCACTTCCCTCCATGGCAGGGTCCCCAGACCTGGCCCCAGGGATTGGAAGGGTTGTCCTAAGCTCCATGCCATCCCAGGAAGCCATTGCAGCTGCTGGGTCCCTAGAAGATGGACTGGAGATTCAGATCACCAGAAGGCCCCCGAGGAGAAGCAGCAGGAAGCTACCCCTCCCCGTCCCCTTATTGCCCTGCTTTGAAGGAGCCCAAAGCTGTGAAGCAAAAACTTTGCGGGGGGGGACTGCAGCCACCAGGACAAAACCCCTGCTGCTACCCCTTGAGGGCCTTCGTACCCAAAGGGCACATAAAGACAGTTGCTCCTTGGGGCATCCTCGCTATCTGCCATGCCACTGGAGTGCATGCAGCCTCCCCGGGAGAGTTGGCTTCAGCAGCAGCTTTCCTCTCAATTGGCTTGCTTCAAAGAATGGGGAGGAATTCAGATCCCACCATCTCCTATCAGTTGACAGTGGATAATGAGAGTTTATCTCATAAGCTTCTTCCGTGCAGTGCAAAAAGCCATATACCATTGGAGAAAGTATATCCATATAGTAACAAGTAGGAATAACAGTGTGCCAGTATTCATTAATGGGGAGTGGGTATCAAACAACAACATCAACAGCAAACCTTTATTACGGCCTTTAGGCCAGAAAATGCTACATGAAAACACATGCACTTAAAATTATAGATATGAGTAAAAAGTAGGCATTAAATGCATAAATAATAATAATAATTCCCAAAAGCAACAAATAAGCATCCTGTTTTCTGCCAGAGTATTTCTTTAGAATGGGATAGATGGATGTCATTCAAGATTCCCTGCAAAGAGAGCAACAGAGGAACATGTAGCTCAGGGACTCCATGGAGTTATTTCCACATGAGCATATGGACTGCTGTAGATGGATGTTCTTATTACACCCCCACAGGAGTGTGGAGAGTAGTGTGTCCAACCTGGACATGATGAAGGCCCAGTGAAATTTCAGAGTTAGAATGGAGAAGAAATATGATGATAGCACATGCCCACTTGAAAAGAATCCATGGACTGTGGGGTTGGATTCTAGACTTAGACTGGCTTGGAAATCAATATTCCCAATATGCTGTTCAACATGACTCCTAGCATTTTCAAACCCTAATGGGCAGAGGCTCTCCAAAGACTCAAAGGTGCGCGCGCGCGCACACACACACACACACACACACACACACCTTCAAATCAGTAGTGACTCCTGGCAACTGCCTGGACTAGGCCCTGAGGTTTTCTTGGCAAGATTTTTCAAAAGTGGTTTGCCCTTGCCTCCTTCCTAAGGGTGGAAGGAGAGTGACTGCCCCAAGGTCACCCAGCTGGCTTTGTGCCAAAGGTGGGATTAGAACTCACAGTCTCCCGGTTTCTAGCCCAGTGTCTTATACCAAACTGGCTCATTTTGTGTAGTTTCCTTATTGTATTTAGCAAGTTAATAGGTCTGTAATTGGCAGGGTCAAGTCTATTTTCTTATAGAAAGGGATAGCTATGGCCTCATAACATTCCAATGGTAAATATGCTGTGCTATTAATATACATAAGTATATTTATTTTATTTTATTTATTTTCCTTTAGTAATTCTGGAGGGATGAAATCACCTCCAGGAGCTTTCCCAGGTTTCAGCTGTGTGATGAGATCCTTAATTTCGGTTATAGACACAGGCGTCCATTCATTAAGTACTTTGCAATGGGGGACCACCACACAGTAATTTGGTAGTTCTAAGTGGAAAGTGCTCTGAAAGTAATTCTCTGCAGGTATTTGGCAGACAGGACATGAGCGACTACCCACAGGATGGGAGTCAAGTAGGCACCAGAACCAGACAGGGTTCTTAAGCTTCACTGGTGCACTTGATCTTGCCCAACCCTCTCTCAATGCTTGCTGTTTCTTAGATTTTAAAAGATAATTATAGATCTCCTTATGCTCATTAAAGGAACCTAACTGTTTGTGAGATCAAAAAGTATATACTGCAGCGAGTTTTTGCCTTGTAACAATCTGTATCAAACCAAGGTTTGGATCTCCTATGAGGGGGGCTACAGCAAGCTGACGGGAGTCTAGATAGTTGGGCCTGGAGAGTGGGGACCGATAACATGATAATACCTGTTCAGAGGAGTCAGCTGAAGAAATTTGAGAACAAAGTTGAAAGAGGGGTTCTGAATTCAACAGAGCAGGTAAGTTTTTGCCATTCTGAAAGACCATTTACATATTCCAAATACGTCCTTTTATGGTGGCCCCAGGGGGACCGAGAGCTATGCCTAGAAACTTAGGAGTTACTTTAGGAGTCAGCCAGCAGATTGATGGCAAACTACCCAGAGTCACTGCGAGCTGGGCAGCATATAAATTGAACAAAATAAAGTAAAATAAATCAATGGCCACTTCACGGTGATTTCCAATATAGAAGTGGGTTATTAAATGAGCATAATTACATGGAACCATAATATAATTGACCACACTGGCTGTTTTGGAGCCCTCAAATTAATTTTTTTGAGAGCCAGTTTGGTGTAGTGATTAAGGTGCTGGCCTAGAAATCAGGAGGGTGTGAGTTCTAGTCCTGCCTTAGGCATGAAAGCCAGATGGGTGGCTTTGGGCCAGTCCCTCTCTCTCAGCGCAACCCACCTCACAGGGTTGTTGCTGTGGGGAAAAATAGGAGGTAGGAATATTAACTATGTTTGCCACCTTATATATAAAAAGGTGGGATAAAAACATTATATATTGGGATAAAAACATTATATAATATAATAATATTATATATTATTTATTGAAGATTTTTACAGAGGTAAAATACATGAAAATATATAAAGAAAAGTTAAGAAAAAGATAAAAGAAAAAGTGTGGAAAACAATACAAATACGAAAAAGGAAAAATATAATTAAAGAAGTGACTTCCGATCTTCTTTACAGCAGTTACAAACCAACTTATTATATCACTCCTCCCTCTTTAAAATTATATTACATAGCTCCCTTCTATTCCATATTCAATCCTTTTTAATCAGCAAATAAAAAAAAAATCACCATTTCATTGTTCTCCATTTTCAGCAAAAAGGCCATAAAAGGTTTCTAGTCTTTTTTGAAAATACTTGTTGTTTTATCCCTGATCAAACAGGTCAATTTTGCCATTTCTGCAAATTCCACCAGCTTCACAATCCACTCCTCCATTGTGGGTATTTCAGTATTTCTCCATCTTTCTGCATATAGTAGTCTTGCTGCAGTTACCATATATAAAATCAATCTTCCGTAAGTCTTTTCTAATTGGCTATCCATAAGTCCCAATGGGGGACGTGGTGGCGCAGCGGCTTAATGACGCTGAAAGTTGCCGGCCAGAAATGGTCG